ACTAGGTAAAAGTGGTATTACTTTTGATAAAGTAATACTCCTTTTAAAAATAATACTATTGTTTGAAAAAAGTAATACTAAAGTAATACAAGGTAATATTTACATTAGTATTACTTAAAGTAATACTAATACACAGTATTACTTTTGAGTGGTTTGCCCCTCGGATATGTCTTTGTGCTGTTCACGTGATAATATCCTAATCACTTTATTGGAATATGGAAATGTTCACATCTTCGCAGCATGCACAAAACACACTCCGTTTCAAAGTCGTTTCAAAGTTGAAAAAAAGAGCCACAGATGGATCGTTGTTTGCATATGTAAACAACAATCCATCTATGGTAATTTATTTAACTTTGAAACGAAATGTGTTCTGTGCATACTGCGAAAATGTGAACATTTCCAAATCATGCATATGAATTAAGTGATATGTCCCATACATTTGCGTTACATTCAGGCTCATCTACCATGATTACGTTGTTCTATTCCGTAACTACAGTGTTAGTTAATGCAAGGAAATACGGAATCATATTTACTTTACGCCACTCAAAAAGGTGAATGCGCTCAAAATCATACAAATCTACGGTTTCTCTGGAAAAAGCAAAAGCGAATCTCATACAAGACCATAGCTCTAATATGTATTAGTAACACTTTACATAGAAATATGGACAGCTTCTCAACTATTCTGAAATTCCGATGAATGTATCAATGATAGTAATGCCAATGGCCACATCTTGAAGAATGTCCGAAACCTTTCGATTACATGTCATTCATTCCCGAATAACGATTCGATTAAGCGTTGAAATGGATGACTCACAAAGATCTGTGGAACAGCCAAATGTTTCTACGGCTTTAAGCTACAATATTAGCAAGTATCAGTAAAAGTGCTTTCCAAAGGTGAAATCGTTTCGAAGAAATTAAAGTGATCACGCCTTTTTGCCTTGTTGGTTGCATAAAATTTCTTCACAAATTTCAGCTTATTCTTGATTGGAATTTGAATTCCAAAGGGTTTGGCGTGGCATTCAGCTTTGACGGTTGAATTCAAATACAGAATTTAATGCATCGTTCCGGTGTTCTCTGTAAGTATGCTTAAGTAGTATGAGCATGAACAAAGAACCTTTATCAACCTTAAACTATATCCACTTCAATCGAAAATAATACAGGCTAAAACGGTCAAATATTTTGAATAAAAGTAAAAGTAATGAAAATCAAATGCGAGTAGAGCCGGTGTGTAAAACAGTGTAAAAAAAACTCCTTAAATGGCGATGGTTCTTTCAGGGACAAAAATGTCAGCATATGAAGAATATGGTCACGTGGAAATAGATGAATTGCAATAAATATGACATAGATATATTGTTGTATCTCTGGAGTGAAAACTTTTATTATCTAATCGATAGTTTGACTTTTTGTTTCAATTTTGTGCAGCATTCCAATCTAAAGTAAAAGTGGATATCAAGACTGCTTTGACTGTGTATTTTGACTATCGAAGATACCTTGAAAGTAGCGGCGATAACAGCGATTGAATCTAATACAAGCTGCACGAAAGTGGCACCACTTAAAAACGCCTTTGATTTGCATTATACATTGTACAAGTACATGCAAGCGGTGAGAGTTCGAAATATCAAATAACAACAACAAATACTACTGACACGATCAACTCTCGGACAACAGTGGTATTTTTTTCATTGCAGTCAATTGAGTGTCACGAACGGTCAAAGTTTCAATATTTTACGTTTTCCAAAGTACAGATTAATCACATCACTAACAATCTGTACCAATCATCATAAGGCGTCTCCACTCGTATCAAGTTTGTATTATGAATGTTGAGGTGCGTGTAAAACAATACAAGTGAAAGATGATACACGGAATTTATCTGTACTTTCAAAACGAGAACTTATGTAAAATGGCGATGCGGTTTTAAGATGTTATTGTATTGAGTAGAAACGCACTAATTTTATGGTTTACTCTGTATAATTTATTTATATTCTGTCAAATAAAACAACTTGAAATTAAAATTTAAGCCGCATTCGGCATTTTGCTGTTCTGTATCGCTTTTGGTTGAAAATGATTTAATTTGGGAAAACCCAATACAAACCAGTCGGAAGTTTGATAAGCAGAGTACTGCAAATTCATTCAAACCGTTATCAATAAACGCTGATGCACACAAACATTGATACGCGAACCTAATGTCGATGCCAACATCAGCACAGTTCAACACTTAAACAGTTCCGAATGTTCAGCAGATAAGAATTTCAAAGCATCAAATGTGATAGGAATGTTTCACATGCATGTTAACATGAACTTGAAGTAAATTTTACTTGAAGTAGTGTTTCAGTAGAAATTTCGCTTTGTTTGCGATCGCTGGAGATTTTTTCATGGTTCTCCTTTATGAGTGATTCAAACTGTGTTTATCTTATTCAGTTAGTGTTTTCAAATACTATTTTGATATCTTTCTATAAAAATTGTTCAGAATTCTGATTCAAATTGCGTTTTTGAGCAAATCAAAATGAAGGCAATATTCGCAATTGCCCTGTTTATTGTAGATCTCAATGGTTTGCTGGCAGGTAATTCAGCACATTCTAAATTAATCCTCCCTTTAAATTTTCTACTTTATTTAATTTCTTGGCGTATAAGTCATGACATACTTCAATGTTTTAAATTTATTCCACGGTATTTCCCTCCATGCCATAATCATTCGCAGACGATAAAAAGGCAGACGAGTAAGTAAACCAGCACATTTTTATTTGAAAATATTTCATTTGAAAAATTTGTACTTTTTTCAACTTATTGTAGATCTCTTTCATCAAAAATGAATGAGCTGCGAAATGCGATCAAATATGGTGAGTTTTTCTTCTAAGCAAAGATAAAAAAGTAGTTTTTCTTTTCTATTTCTGCTAAGAAGGTGAGAAAAAATCATCTCGATTCATTATTCCTAGAGTCTACATTTGAAATCAGAGATCTTATTAGACAAGGAATGGATGTGAATGCTCACTTCGACGATGGACAAACTCCAATTCATGTGGCGGCTGACGTTGGTAATTGCCAATTTTACAAAACAAATAATCATTAGGCTCATCGAAAGTGTGTGCTCACAAGCCATTTAAACTCATAACTTAACTCAGGAAATGCAAACATAGCAGAATTGTTTCTTGATCATGGTGCCAATGTCAATATTTTGAGCCTCAATGGAATTCCAGCTCTTCATATGGCAGCCAGAAAAGGAAAGTACCAAATTGGAATTGAAATCATTTATTTTGTTTTAATCTCAATTTCATTGAAACAGGCCACCAATCTGTAGTTGAAATTCTTGTAAAGAAGAATGCAAACGTTAACTTCCAAGAGCGTAATTTCAGAAATACCTCTCTACATGTTGCGGCTGATAAAGGTGATTTTTTTTTTGGTTTATTAGTTTTTTATTGGTTCATCACAAGGCTCTGAATGAAGAACAATGTTTAAAACCACCAAGTTTACTCCAAACAGAAGCGAAGAAATATTATGCTATCATTTTCTATATTTAGCACGCAAGAGAGGACGCGTCCTCTTAGGGTGCAGTCACACTTGGGAACATGGTTCTGGACATTGTTTAGTCATGCATTCAGCCAGTGTCGATTTTTTTTCTAAATATATATATTAAACATTTTTTCAACATGCAGGTTTTGAAAGCATTGTCAAATACTTGATCGACAACTATGCAAATATCAACGTCACCGATAAAAATGGTCATTCACCGCTTTATTATGCTCTCAAAAAAGGTAATTGAAATGTAATCTCATTTCAATTTTTAATTAGAAAATATCATATTTACTTAAAATTTGTCTACTGATCGAAAAATCCATTGAAATCGAAACAGGTCATAAGAAAGTTGCTGTGATACTCATTGAAAACGGAACAAATATTGATTTTGAACTGGGTGATTGGAAGGGACTCATATTTCGTTGTGTTGTTGATCAAGGTAAACGTTACCTTCATTTCTTTTACTGTATCTATAATGAGTTGATTTAGTTCAAGGTACCCAAAGAAGAAATCGACTCATCGCTAAATTGAATAACCGTGGAATAGATACTGATGTTGATTGGCCAACTGCGTTTATTGAAGCTATTAAAAAAGGTCATTTTGCGCTCTTTTTGTTTTACGTTAAACGTTATAGCGGTCACACGCTTGAAGTTTTCAAATCAATATACCATGAAGCATCGTTTTTCTCCATTTAGGTGATGCCTTTTCGACAGAGTTCATAGCAAAAAACTGTATAAATAACTTACGTGGAATGCAATGGTCCGTTGTGCTGGCTGCACGAACAGGTGAAATTATTTTAATTTTATTTTTTTCCAAAATATTTTCCAGCATGACTCTTGGCATCTCAATAAAAAAAACTACGCTACAAATATACCGCGTGTATTCCCTGCGCACGCCAGGTTTATACCATTTTCACGCTTACGCTTATTTTATACATAGTTTAATACAGAGTCGAAGGTATATTTAATCCGTATGCTTTGCATGCGGTTCACGCTAAAAATATGCCTTAAATATACCTTCGACTCTGTATTAAACTATGCATAAAATAAGCGTAAGCGTGAAAATGGTACAGTAAAACCTGTCAATAACGGAATCCCATGGGGAATTTTTTTTTTCCACTATTGACACGAATTCCACTATTCAAAGGTTGCGTTATTGACAGGTTTTTGAGTCGAACCAAACATGATTTTCCATTATTGAGGGTAAAAAGAAACAAAAAAAAAACCGAAGCAAACATTTTTATGGGTATTTAATGATCAAATCAAGCGATATAATAAAGGTGAGAAGGAAATACTGAAATAAAAGTATTTTTCAATAAATGAATGAAGGAAAGAAAGAACGAAAAATGAAAAAAAAACCGTGAATGACAAACATTATTATTTAGAACAATCAAGCAGTCTAAACAGTGACTCAAAATGAGAAAGTAAATGATACTCATTTCTTTCACTGCCAAATTGGCAGCGATAAATTCTGCATTTCATGAAACGAAACAATGATTTTCAAACTTACTGTAAATATACTGAATTGCACGCGCCAATCGAGTGGATGTGTTTTTATTGGGAGCATCAAAAATTTATTTGCATAAAATAAGCAATGATTTTGGCAGACGAAAGTAAAACATGATACTGAAATCAATGTAATGTACATTGTACTGAAGGATTTTTATGATGATCATTGGTTTTGATAAAGGAAAAAATATAGTTTCAAATGAAAAAGACACGGAAAAAAGACGAAAAAAAATTTCGTCAAGAAATTTTTTCCACTATTCGGAGTTTCGGTTTTCCGTTATTAACAGGTCAATTTGTATGGGAGAGCTCAACGGCCAAATTTTTTTTCCACTATTGACACGATTTCCACTATTCCCAGGTTCCGTTATTCACAGGTTTTACTGTTTAAACGTAGCATGCGCAGGGAATACACGCGGTATATTTGTAGCGTAGTTTTTTTTTATTGAGATGTCTTTATCTTCGATTGCATCAATTTTTTGCATCTATAAATTTTTAAAGTTAGATTTGCCTTTCTTCATTAGGACAAGCGGAAATTGTAAAACTTCTCATCGAAATTGGTGTCAACGCGTCTCTTCCAGATGCAAATGGGACACTAGCTCTTTTTGTTGCCGTTGAAAATGGTAGTCAAGGGCCAATATCGGATAGTGACCATCAAATTAATATTGAACCAAATAATTGTTCCAATTCAAGGTCATGATAAGGTGGTTGAGATTTTAACACAATCGGAAGTGGACATCAACATAAAAAATCGATCGGGGAAAACCGCTTTGCACGTTGCAATTGAGGCTGGTTCAACAAAAATGGTCGAGTGTTTAATCCGAAATTCGGCGAATGTCAATATGAAGGATAGCCAAGAAAATTCCCCTCTTATGCTTGCCCTCAAGAAAGGTAATGACAACATAACGTTGCTGCTGATTGATAACAACGCAGACCAATACTTAGTTCATAAAGAATGGGGACCTGCCTGCTTTGGTTGTATTACACGCATTGGTAAGAATAAGTTTAGTGGCGCTGATTAATGTCAACAATGTTGGTTGGTGATTATCCAAAGCGTTTTTCATATGGATACCACTTTGGTAAAATTGCCATACGATCTAATTAAATTCAGTTTGGAATCATGCTTGAAAGAGACACTTAAATATTTTAAAATAATCGAATTTCTCAAATCAAAGCTCAAACACCTAATCTTAGTGAAGCATTTGGCCTAAGCTTCCTTTTTATTATCTTAATTATCAGCTAGCCGCAGTATAATTGAAGCATTCAACAGGAAAAGTGTGCGTATGGAACAAGATTGGAAGCAGGCAATTCAACGGACAGTTGATGTCGGTAAGTTCCACATTCAATTGATTCATTTGATTCTGTATTCAAATCAAATTTAAACTATCAAAAAGTGAATGAAGTTTATTATACTACACTATCAATTAGATTAGCATGAGTGTCAAAAGTTTCTTTTTGTTCAAGCCAAAACTAAATTTATCATCGATTTTATTGAATCGTTTCAATTCCCATTTAGATGATGCAAGAGGAACAAAAATGCTCATAAAATGTTGCTTTGAAGATGGAGACGTTCAGAAATTGAAAGAGTTACACCTCCTTCATTTGGCCGCTGAAAAGGGTATCGTACGATTTATTCACGGCATACAATTTTCTTCAACATTTCTACAAAAATGCATTATGGCTTGAAAGTCTCCTATTTGAGACAAAAATATTGAATTTTTCATTTAGGTAATGTTGATGTCGCAAAAGTTCTCATTTCCCGTGGCGTTGAAGTTGATGCCAAGAATGACCAACAAGAAACAGCTCTTCATTTCGCCGCTCGTTATGGTAATTAGCTGGAATTACTTGTGCTGAGGTCTTAATCAATTATGTGCTCATAAAAATGAAATCTTTGATCAATTTTGAAATTGTAGGTCGATTGGAAGTAGCCAAAATCCTTATTGAACATCGCGCCGATGTCAATGCTCGAAATGGAGTCGCTAAAAGAACACCACTCCATTTAGTTGTTGTGAATGGTGATTGAATCAGATTTTGTATTTTCAACACGTTTCACCACAATAAATAATTTCTATCAATTTTTGCCTTAGGTAGTGGAATGTTAGCCAGAGTTCTCTGTGATAATGGTGCCGATGTTAATGCTTTGAACGTACATGGAGACACACCACTTAGCGATGCTGTCTTGTACTGTAAATGCATTCAATTCCATTATTGTTTTCATTTAAAATCGAAATGTTTTGATTTATCATCATTTTAAATCTAGCCGCTCTGGATGTGGTTAAAGTTCTCGTTGAACATAATGCCAAATTATATACTGCCGCCATTCACGATGCTGCCATACATGACCGTAATGACTCAAATTTATGTTGGATTCATTAAAATGGATTAAAATTGTCTCAAAAATCATATTCGAACCCATTTCCATTTTAGAGACTGGAGAAATCACTAAGTTTTTCATTGAACATGGCGCCAACATCAACAGAGTTAACGATGGAGAGACACCTCTTCATGCCGCTGCTCGTCATGGTACTTTGACGGAATTCTCATTGATCTTAGCTCTTGTTGTGTTATAACACGTTCACATTATTTTGAATCAAACCTAGGCAGAACTGGTGCTGCTAAAGTCCTGATTGACCATGGTGCCAATGTTAATTTCCGAATCAAAGATGGAGAAACGCCTCTACATCTAGCTGCTCGTCACGGTATCTGAATTTTTATCTTAAAACCCATTTAAGTTATATGTTTTGAATATTGTTTATAATGATCAACGACGTACGTCGATTCAACGTTTTGATTTCAAATTACAAATTGAAATTCCAGGTCGGGTGGAAATAGTCGAACATCTCATTGAACGCGGCGCGGATGTGAATGCTAAAACTGAATTTACTCAAAGAACTCCACTGCATTTTACGTCGAATGGTAATTGAATCAAACTCCGTTAAAAAACGCAATTTTATTCAATTTCCGTCAATTTTCGATGCAGGTTATGGCTTGTTAACAAGAGTTCTGTGTGATAATGGTGCCGATATCAATTCTTCGGACAGATTCAAAAGCACACCTCTTAATGATGCTGTTATAAATGGTAAAGTGAAGCATTCATTTCGATTAAAACATTTTTGTTTTCGTTTATAAACGAAATACTCTGATTTTCAATCATTCCAACAAACTAGCTGCTCTGGATGTGATTAATGTTCTTCTAGAGTATGGTGCTAAAGTCAACGATAAAGCAATTCGCGATGCTGCCATTCATAACCGTAATTATCCAAGTTTTTTTTTTCACACTCTCAAAAATAAAGTTTTGCTGAAGGATATCCAGAATTTAAAAAAAATCTGATTTGGCTTTTGATCTATTTCTAATTCAGCCACGGGAAAAATCACTAAAAAGTTCGTTGACCACGGTGTCAATGTCAATTTGGGCAACAATGATCGACGTCTGCCATCACGTCGACAAGGCGCTTTGCTGCCACCTCCACCAAATCCTTTACCACCGGCAATATTTCACCAACGTGTCCGCCTCTGCATTCCAGCTTGTGCCAGATCCGCCACTTAGATGTAAATAACCTTTCAAAGGTTTCGTATCACTTCTTAAAGGCATCGATATCAACGAGGGCTGAAGCCGATTAGACACACTTATTCATTTTTTTTTAATTCAAAGTGTAAAATAATGAAATTTAATTAAAAAAAATTATTAAAATGTCGGATGCTTTTCTTATAATACAGAGGGCAATCCACTCAAAAGTAATACATAATACCTGCGAAGTAATACGAAGTAATACTAGGTAAAAATGGTATTACTTTTGATAAAGTAATACTCCTTTTAAAAATAATACTATTGTTTGAAAAAAGTAATACTAAAGTAATACAAGGTAATATTTACATTAGTATTACTTAAAGTAATACTAATACACAGTATTACTTTTGAGTGGTTTGCCCCTCGTCATAATATCAAAACAAATGCAAATGACGCAATACATTGATTCCAAATGGAACATGGTGAATGATGGCGTTACTTTTGAAAACGAAGCATTTAACCATCACACAGTGATTGAAACTAACATACAGAAAAAATGAACCCCAAAAAATAACATGAACTGTGATAATGTGCTGTGAGCCAAGTGCTTATCTTCAGTTTTCTGATAAGGAAATGATCTTACTGGGTATTTGTTTGATCAATCACCGCCATTCATAGAAAAAAAAACAATTTAGAATCATTTAAAAAGACTGGAAAACGAACATTGATAGCTAATGCATTTTTTATGTTTAGAGATTTATTTTCCACATTTGATTCACCTTTTTATTATTATTGATGAAATAATGAAATTAATGAAAAGTAACGCAAGGGCAAGAAAAATTCGTAATTGATTCCATGATGCATGCAATATTTACAATGATAATTAAATCGAACATATTTTGTCCATTAAATAAATTGAAATTCAAACATGGACATAGAGTTATTTGGATATAATTCAGTCAATTATAACGATACATCTATAATACTGTTAGCACGAAATAAATTTTGATTTTTTTAGCATTCGATCCATATACGCCCAGAGGTATATACCGTGTTTTTATAGTAAAACTCTACACATTCTTTAAAAAAAAAAAAGAAAATCAAATTCTCACAAAGATCAAGAAATAAGTAAAATTCTGGCAAGAACATCGATCCATTCTGAAGATGATGTAAGTAATGACGCAAGTTGTTGGTCAATTCATTTATTTTTGCGTTGTAAATAAAACAAATGAAATAAGAAAAAAGGAAAGAAAAACAAATGGATAAAATATGATTGACAAAACCGATCTTTTAAATAGAATGAAAAGTGGACTGAATTGATTCCAAAATTGCTTATATGAACTGACTTATTTACAGGAAAAAGAATGAACTTCGAATAATTGGAGCCATTTCAATCGATTTGAATGACATGCCTGATGAACGTCAACGGAATAAAAAGGATAAATCGAACAAATTTCAAGTGAACATTTCTCTTTTTTTTCTTGAATAAAAAACCACAAGCGACATATATACATTGAATTTTCTATTGAAATTGAACAAAATTTGAATTTATACAACAAAATTGACTTTATTAACCGATACATCTTTCTTTCATCTTTCAATTTTAATTTTCTTGTGATAAAATTTACATCTTTCCCACAGATTCTCAAAGAATTTTGTTCGAATTCAACAGTGCATGGGATTCGATATTTTACGGAACAAAAACGTCATTGGATTGAAAGGTTCTTATTGTATCCGCCATTGATTTATTGCAATTTTATCGTTTGAATAAATTTTTAACGATTGTATACGATATTGTATACAGTTTTCGAAGTATTACTCTCTTTATTTATGATTTTGTTCCGTCTTTCTGTTCGTTCCCTTCGTTATCCTAGTAGAAACATTTTGACACTACTTTTTCTAATAATGTTTTTTGAATGCCATTTGAATGCTCCTTTTTCTTCGTTTCAGAGTCTGGTGGATGATTGCAGTTGCATTGTCAATGACTTGCTGTGGCTTTGGTATCGCGGCCATTTGGTTGAAATGGTATTATCGGCCTGTTATGGTGAGCTTTGACGATAAAACCACATCAGTTGGAATGATCACATTTCCAGCCTTGACCGTCTGTACAACGCAAAAGTATCTCATAGACGAAGTTGATATTGATCAAATAATCCAAACATTCATTGAAATGGAAACTAATCAAACAGCTTATAAGGGCTTATCACCCAAAACGTATGGATATTACTCTTATAACACTTCTGCATAAAAAAAAGCAATATTAGAATTTCTGGGCCAGAACCCAATCCACTATTTGCAAAATGAATTCGGCTAACATACAACCCATTTTTCATTCTGCAGAATGAACCATTTCGATGCAATTATGCACGTCTGTTCCAAAGAGCTAAGGAATGCAGCAAATGATCTAATCATATCAAAAACTGAATCGATTTACACGACTCTGGAACAAATCAGCCCGGACGTCGCCTCAGTATTACCTTTTTCAACATTTGCTGGCAATATTGAACATTTCAGACCAATTTTTACGGAAGAAGGACTTTGCTTCACTTTTAATGCGCTCAACTCACGAGATATTTACAAGGATGAGTATGAATCGAATCAAAGCATAACATTAAAATTAATTTCACTTTTTAAATTGACTTATTTCTCATTTTTCACCATTTTTTCTTCGTTTTTACTGTTTCCTATTTTTCATGCTCTGCAATTTAATAAAGATTGTTATCTGTTAGCAACAAATACGATTTAAATCACGATATTATTTCATTGATTTTCGGTTAGAATCACGCCAGAGCTAATGACAGTGGACTATAATCCAGATGCAGCCTATATGAATATGATTGATGAGATGGAAATGAATGAAATAAATCATATTTTATATCCGTTTCGCGTGTTTGGAGCTGGTTTGCGTAATGGTGCGGTCATGGTGTTGAGAATGGTATTGGATAAATCACAAGAATACTGCAGTTCATATGCGCAAGGATTTCGACTTTCGTTGCATGGGCCTCATGAAATCCCACATTCGACCGATGACTTCATCCATATTCCAGTGGAACAAGAAATTTATGTGTCGATTAAACCACATCTTATTTTGACTTCGAATGGATTACGCAGCTATCCACCCTCGCGTAGAGGGTGTTTTTTCCAAAGTGAGCGTCAGTTACAATTCTTCAAGTCATACTGTCAACGAAATTGCCAACTGGAATGCTTGAGCAATTTCACAAGAGAAACTTGCAATTGTGTAACATTTTCAATGCCAAGTAAGAAATAAGTCTGATTTAAGTCTCTCAAATATTTTTATTTGATTACATTTTTCCGAATCTGTTCAGTGCGATTTGATGAAATCGAACCAAACATGTGTTTTAAGATCGCTGAGCATCTCAGCATTTCGTAAGGCACGGATATATCCGAGCATATCGACGACGCATACTGTATAATACAGTGGCGTGTGTTGCTACGTGCAGCCGCAACGACTCGACCGAAGTGTGTTCAGTTGATGTGGCTGCACGCAGCAACAACATACACATTCCGGTCGAGTCGTTGCGGCTGCGCGTAGCAACGCACGCCACTGTATGCGTCGTCGATATGCTCGGATATATCCGTGCCTTACGAAATGCTGAGATGCTCAGCAATCTTAAAACACATGTTTGAATCGAACTCAATTCAGTCTGAATCAATAAACTGAATTCACATCGAACATTTTCGATTAATTTTCTTTTAAATATCCCAAAACAGGAGATAAAAACACAAGCGTTTGTACTATGTTTGATATTCGGTGCTATGTCAATGCTGCCTATAAGTTTGAACGAGATCTTCTTGTGAAAAAGTGTAATTGTTTACCCGATTGCACATCAGTAAGTACACTTCATATGAAGTTCATATGATGAGCTTGGAATGAACATGA